GTTACGGGTAAAAATATTAGGATATATTATTCATACATGACTATAAAAAATTAGATACTATATTTTATACCCGTATAATAGTAATTTATAGTATGTGATCTGCAATATAAATTGTATTAAACTCGGTGATTTTTTTTTTTTTTTTTTGAAATAATTAGGTAGATATATTTACTAAAATTAAAATAGTTATATGGTTTTATAGATTAAAATAGAAATATATACATAATTATATCATTTTTAATTATTTAATTTAACTAGTCTTTTTAATTAAGAATAAACCTACTGTAAAATTATTTTATAAGCATTTTAAAAGATTGATTATATTTTACAAGTATTTAATAGATATATACTGGTTGAAATAACTCGCTATAATCCACTACAAGTGATACTTAACTACCTAACTGAACTGTTGTTACTTATAATTGTATTAGTTTTATAATATTAATTTTGAAGATGTATAAATAACATTTGTATCACTGTAGCTCAGTCTAGATTCATACTTGCTTCCCTCTTGGAAACTTGTTATAAATTTGCAATAATTTTTAATGTAAAATTCAGTATTTGTGTAATTGTGTTCCAATATTTCATTCTTGAATTAATGATGCATTATTAGGGATTCTGAATTGACGTCATATAGCAGAAGTCCGATACGTTAAAATTAAAAATCTATAGTATAAATAGATTTCGAGGTTTTGAGTAGGTCACTGAAATAGATGTGTTAAATTTGAATTCAATAATAAATAATTTTAAACGAAAAACGATTCTGAGCGGAGACGTTTGTTAGTCTATATTATTAAGTATATTTGACAATATTCAAAATATATTTATATTGCTATTGTATTATAGTAATTCATTTACCATTAGTGTTACGGGATAAACTAAAAATGGGTAGTAGCTTAAAATTAATCTAAATATTTTGAAAATGTCATTGTGTATAGTAAAATATTAATGCTTATCAGTGTTCAATACTCAGATAACTTGATACTATTAAATGTTATTGTAGTGAATTGTGCGTTATACGCCGAAGCGCTTAGAGCTCAGTACCAAGTGTATTTATAATTTGTTAAATATTATTTGTTTTTACAATAAATGTTTTTTACGATCAATAAATGTGTAATTATATATGCCATATATAGATATACATATACATTTTGAGTCCCCGCGAATGTTTATGAATTACAACAAAATAACTAATAGCTTTTGCGGATGAAACTGATGGAAGTAACCAAATTTCGCATTTAACTATTTAAGATTTATTTTATTATACATTATGCGCATATGTATAGAGTTTTCAGTAATTTTGATACGATACTTTATTGTTTGTCAAATATGATTTTTAGTTATTTCAATAACTAAAAGATGATTTATTCTAAAACTAAAAGTTTTTTATAGAATATAAAAGGTTTATTTTGGTGAAAAAAAGAATTTGAACAAGATTTTAATAAGCTATAGTGCATCCTTATGCGAGAACTATTTGTAAATAATTAGTACTGGAATAATCAAATACCGTGTTAAAAATTTCAAGTATAAACTTTATTTAAACTATGCTTATAAACTACTTATAAGCTATAACTAAATATACAAAAATATTTTATCTTAAATAATTGTTTAGACATAGAAAAATAAGAATATAATTTTAATTTCCTAACCGTGAGAACATGGCTTAATTACTAAAATATTACATATGCTTATCGTTTACATATTTATTATTACCATCATAATTTCAATTATAGGTAATAAATATTTACCTAATCATAATTAAAAACTCAAATCATGAATTTCGTCTATAATACAAGATACAAAGTACTTAAAATCAATAATCATGATGATTATTATAATTCATATAATACAAATGATAAAATCTAACAGTTGCTTGGTGTGGCGCGGTGGTTGGTTTCGTTCACTAATGTGTTTCGAGGTCAACCACTGGCCAGCGTCGCTAGCTCTCGGATGAGTGACTACCCGAGCTTTTAGTGACAAATCCATGGCAAACACATACACCCACATATCCAACGGTTTTTAAGGGCCTACGGTTGTTAGAATTTCGAAAATCATATTTTTCATTACATAATAATGTAGAGCGACACCGTTTACATCATATTTGGTTAACTCAAACGCAAATTTCAACATCCTACTACCTCAAATTTAGTGATTTTCGATTTTTACAAGTAAAAACGCCCAAAAATACCGGTGGGCCATTAAAAAAAAAAATGTTTCACAATTGTTCGTCTTTTTTGTGCTAATAGGTTTCAAGCACCGTTTCTAATGATGGATATGAAATTTGGAATATGAAATCTTTTTTATTCCCCTAGATATCGCATGAAACGTGTTTTTTCAAAAAAACGGTTTAAGGGCTACGGTTGTTAGAAAATCATATTTTCATTACATAATAATGTAGAGCGACACCGTTTACATCATATTTGGTTAACTCAAACGCAATTTCAACATCCTACTACCTCAAATAGTGATTTTCGATTTTACAAGTAAAACGCAAAAATACCGGTGGGCCATTAAAAATGTTTCTATGTTCGTCTTTTTGTGCTAATAGGTTTCAAGCACTGTTCTAATGATGGATATGAAATTTGGAATGAAATCTTTTATTCCCTAGATATCGCATGAAACGTGTTTTCAAAAACGGTTTTAGGAGGTTGTTAAATTTCGAAAATCATATTTTCATTACATAATATGTGACAACACCGTTTACATCATATTTGTTAACTCAAACCTTTCAACATCCTACTACCTCAAATTTAGTGATTTTCGTTTTTACAAGTAAAACGCCCAAAAATACCGGTGTAATTAAAAATGTTTCACAATTGTTCGTCTTTTGTGCTAATAGGTTTCAAGCACCGTTTCTAAGTGGATATGAAATTTGGAATGTAAATCTTTTATTCCCTAGATATCGCATGAAACGTGTTTTTCAAAACGGTTTTAAGGCCTACGGTTGTTAGAATTTCGAAAATCATATTTTCATTACATAATATGTAGAGCGACACCGTTTACATCATATTTGGTTAACTCAAACGCAAATTTCAACATCCTACTACCTCAAATTAGTGATTTTCGATTTTACAAGTAAAACGCCAAAAATACGTGGGCCATTAAAAATGTTTCACAATTGTTCGTCTTTTGTCTAATAGGTTTCAAGCATCTTCTAATGATGGATATGAAATTTGAATGAAATCTTTTTATTCCCTAGATATCGCATGAAACGTGTTTTCAAAACGGTTTAGACCTACGGTTGTTAGAATTTCGAAAATCATATTTTCATTACATATATGTAGAGCGACACCGTTTACATCATATTTGGTTAACTCAAACGCAAATTTCAACATCCTACTACCTCAAATTTAGTGATTTTCGATTTTACAAGTAAAACGCCCAAAAATACAGTGCCATTAAAAATGTTTCATTGTCTTTTGTGCTAATAGGTTTAAGCACCGTTCTAATGATGGATATGAAATGGAATGTGAAATCTTTTTATTCCTAGATATCGCATGAAAGTGTTTTCAAAACGGTTTTAAGCCTACGTGTTAGATTTCGAAAATCATATTTACATTATAATGTAGAGCGACACCGTTTACATCATATTTGGTTAACTCACGCAAATTTCAACATCCTACTACCTCAAATTTAGTGATTTTCGATTTTACAAGTAAAACGCCCAAAATACCGGTGGGCCATTAAAAATGTTTCATTGTTCGTCTTTTGTCTAAAGGTTTCAAGCACCGTTTCTAATGATGGATGAAATTTGAATGAGAAATCTTTTATTCCTAGATATCGAAAACGTGTTTTCAAAACGGTTTTAAGCCTACGTGTTAATTTCGAAATCATATTTTCATTACATAATAATGTGAGACGACCGTTTCATCATTTGGTTAACTCAAACGCAAATTTCAACATCCTACTACCTCAAATTTGATTTTCGATTTTACAAGTAAAACGCCCAAAATACCGTGGGCCATTAAAAATGTTCCTATTGTTCGTCTTTTGTGCTAATAGGTTTCAAGCACGTTTCTAATGATGGATATGAAATTTGGAATGTGAAATCTTTTATTCCCTAGATATCGCATGAAACGTGTTTTTTCAAAAAAACGGTTTTTAAGGGCCTACGAATGTTAGACTTTCGAAAATCATATTTTTCATTACATTATAATGTAGAGCGACACCGTTTTCATCATATTTGGTTAACTCAAACGCAAATTTCAACATCCTACTACCTCAAATTTAGTGATTTTCGATTTTTACAAGTAAAAACGCCCAAAAATACCGGTGGGCCATTAAAAAAAAAAATGTTTCACTATTGTTCGTCTTTATTGTGCTAATTGGTTTCAAGCACCGTTTCTAATGATGGATATGAAATTTGGAATGTGAAATCTTTTTTATTCCTTTAGATATCGCATGAAACGTGTTTTTTCAAAAAAACGGTTTTTAAGGGCCTACGGTTGTTAGACTTTCGAAAATCATATTTTTCATTACATAATAATGTAGAGCGACACCGTTTTCATCATATTTGGTTAACTCAAACGCAAATTTCACATCCTACTACCTCAATAGTGATTTTTTTACAAGTAAAAACGCCCAAAAATACCGGTGGGCCATTAAAAAAAAAATGTTTCACAATTGTTCGTCTTTTTTGTGCTAATAGGTTTCAAGCACCGTTTCTAATGATGGATATGAAATTTGGAATGTGAAATCTTTTTTATTCCCCTAGATATCGCATGAAACGTGTTTTTTCATACATATAATCTCTTTTCTGATCGACTTTAAGATCTTTTGAAGTCTTTTGACTTTTGATAATGAAAAACTTCATAAGTCGTATCAAAAATCACTATAGTTCTATGACATTAGTAACAATCATCTAATTGTTTGCTTATTGATTTCGTTATAATTTGTTACTTTTGCACAAACTTTATTTATAGCAAACAGAAGAGGAAAAAAATTATAAAATTATTTATGATAACAGATGTGTGATAACGATAAAGAAAAATAAAAATAATCGTGACTTCGGAGTACTGATTACTGAGGTATGTGTGATTTACTCGATGACAGTAAATCATACGATTCAACATTCAACTGATCTTGATGTAATTTTTTAAATTTTTAATTTTCGACGGTTTACAACGGCACAACATAATGACGACTTTCTTGAAAACCTTATTGATGAACAGTAGAAAAACGTCAGCATTGCTACCTTCTAATTATAATTTATCTACAAGATGGTTCTGCGCCAAGCCACAAAGATCCGAGGGTAGTAAAATCGACCAAAATGATTCGGCATCTATTACCGCTCAGGTAATATGTATTATAATTATAGATCAGCGATTAATAATTGTCATCGGCATAGGCGAAACTAGACATTTTTATTAGGTCAGGCCAAATAAAATAAATATAAAAAAATATGTGCCCAAATAATTATTAAAATATATAATATACATTATAAAAATTTTCCGCCAGTATTAGGTCAGGCCATAGCCTGACTGGCCTGACCCGTAGTTTCGCCTATGGTCATCGGTCAATGGTCAGTGAATTGCTCATCATTGTCGTCATTATGTTTACAATATTATACTTACTGAAGTATTGAACTTGGTTTTATATATTTATATTTATAATTTTAGAATGAAGAGTTAGATAAATTATACAAAACCATAGAATTTGAATGTCGCAGCAATGATCCTGCAGTGTTGCGTAGTTACACCCAATTTGCAACAATGGCTGCAAATGAATTAGGGATTCAAATTGGAAAATGGTATGTATTATTTTTTTAAACAAAAATAAAAGGTAGATATATTATAAAATAATCATAAGTGATCAATATTTCTGTGTAATAATATTGAAGAACTGTTTTTACCCTCTTATCTACCTCGTTCTAACTAGGTATCTTAAATGTAAATTAATTGTACATTTATTTTATGACTTATCTAAATAAGATGAAAATTTAAAACCAATACTTTAAGACTTTGTTATAGAATTTTATATTTACTTTTTCAACAAAATAATCCATTAAATAATTTATTTTATGAATTTAGAAGAATAATGTTAAAACTAATAATTTTTTTTACATGACATGTTTAAATAAATACTCAAAATCATTAGGACGGACCATTGCTACATTTATATTTTACATATATAATATCAGTATATGAAATATTGTAGATTTTAATTATTGATGAGGGTTGTAATAATTTTTAGAATAATTTTTTTAATTTGTTACATTCTAACATTTAATTTAGAATTAACAGTAATAAAAATTGTTGTAATGTACAATTTTATTTTAGCTGGTCACCACGTAAAGCTCATCATGAGCGGTATACATTATTACGTTCCATTCACGTACATAAAAGATGTAGAGTACAATATGAAGTAAGAACGTGGTTTAGATTTATTCATTTTCATAAGCTTACTGGTTCTACTGCGGAAACCTTTTTGGAGTATGTTCAGAGAAATTTACCTGAAGGAGTTGCACTTAAAGTAACTAAAGTGAGTTATTTTTATCTTAATTAATTTAAATAACCTTAATGATAAATATTTAAAAAAATTTTGCAGGTACTTTTAGAAAATATTCCTGAAAGTGTTTCATCACATATGCCATCTGAAATAGCTTAAATAATATATCATACAATACTCTTAGTTGTTAATGTTGAAAAATTTTTTTTTATGTAATCCAATTAATATATAGTAAAATCTATAAATTCAGTTTGACTGATTTTATTATTATTGTAACTTACTATTGTTAAAGGGTGTTCATATTACAAATATAATACATTGAATATTATTACTTCAAATATATATTAGCTATTATTAGTGTATATTATTAGTGTTTCTCATATTAAGAGCGTTAAAGTTCAAGTAATGTCAAAAACAGTTAAACTTATTACAGTTGATAAATTTATTTTTATTTAAATGAATGCTTATACTCTCAAGTATTGTAATCATTTTATAAACCACGAAGAAAAAATAAAAAAATAAAAATAGATCTTCTTAGTTCATGTTATAAACTAACAATATAACAAATCTATGTTCAGCTAAGAGAATTAAAATAATTAGAAATAATGAAAGTGAACTATAATTATTATTGCTGAATCGTGTTGTATGGAAAAATATTCAGATGATATATTCTAATTCTTGGATTCTGAGCAACGTGATAAATGTGTTTATTTTACAACATATTTTTATTTTAGTATCTATCATCACTTTTTGAAATAGTAAAAATAATTAAATTTTCAATTGTAATACCTTATTTGGTTTGAATTTAATTAACATTTTTAAGATCAAAAAGTAAAAGATTTCTAATATTTGCTTATATAAAAATTTTAATTAAATAGATTTTTACACAAAACTAGTTTGATAAAATTGATTTTTTTATATTATAATAATAAAAGAAAAATGTCAAGACATTTTCACCAATCATTTATATTAGCATTATTTATACATGTTATTTTTATTTTGTTAAACTATTTCTATACATTTAAAATAATAGGACATTTTTTTTTCTATAAATGGCGATAAAAAAAAAATATGTTAGATCGAGTTTAAGAATTAAAATACAATATCCCACATCAGATGTTATTAAGTATGTACATTTTATTGCTGTTTAAAATACTTATATTATTATTTTTTAATATATTCAATAACATCTTCAAAATATTTAATTTTAACCAATTGTCTATTTATACCATATTATTAATAGAAAAATAATTACTATAGTAACAATATTAATATATGATTAAATATACTTGGTAATATCACAGAATATAACAAAGACAGACCGTCTCCATTCAGAATCGCTAATTGTATGTAATGATAAATTTAACACTTATCTCATGTTGTAGAGCAGAGCAGCAACCTATTTTAATTAAGTTAAATTTTATTTATTTAAATAATAAAGTTCACAAGAAAATAAAACTAGGGCTTAGTGTTTCCAAACAAGTTTACCAATCTGCACTTATGAGCAGTAGGTGAAATAATTTAAAGAATAAAATAATATCTATATACAATGAGTAACAATCTACATTTTTTGTTTATTATTATTTTTCATTATATAGTGTTGTATTATACACAGATTTGAAAACATTTTCAGTTTTAATTTTGACACGTGATTTCATAATACAAGTTGTGTGTCGTACATTATACATATAATTAAGATTTTTTCTACAGAATATATTTATATATATAATAACGATAAAATTTAATCTGTTCAAATAACATAACGCATGTCATAACATTAATTTTAGACAACCCAATAAAAAAATAAAAATAACAGAAATCAATATGTATGTTTTATATATTATATATGTGTGTAATGTATACAATAAACTTTAAGTAAAGTAATACATTTTTAATAGTTTAAAAACTATAAAGGACGTATTTTAAAATAGTAATAATTTTTCTTTTTTTGAAATAACAAAAAATAATATGTAAATAACAACATAATATTATATAAACATGTCGCGACAAGAGCGTTAATTTTAAATGCAAAGGTCATAAACATATGTAGCAACTTTATTTATCATAAGAACACAATATGTTCGTTCAATATTATAAAACATAATAAAAAATTAATAAACCTCTTAAGTACACTAAAGCTACATTCATAATATATTTTAAACTATACATAACTCTAATATAATGTATAGACTAACTACTATTTAATAATTATTTGATAGTAAATTTGGTAACAATATTTTCCAACTAGTTTGGACTTAAACATTATATAAAGTAAAAGAAAATGGCACCTGTAAAGAAATATATGATATTATGAGAGTTAAGTTTTTTTTTAATGGATAAATTGACTTAAAAGTCTTTCCAAATACTGTTTGGAAAATGTCAGTCTTTGGAATATTTTCGTTTCAATAAAATTTAAGTAACTGAATTAAAAAAAAAAAAAAAACAGTATCATATATATTCATTATTAATTTTTATGATTATTAAAAACAATTATCACAAAGAAAAACCCAAGATAAAAATCACAGACAATAAAAATATCCAAGAATTCGGAAAAATAGAAAATAAAATATGTAACTGTAACAATGTTTTACTGTAGATAAACAAACTCATAAAAAATAAGTATTTTTAATAGTATTCTGCAAACAAATTAATGATAATTATTAACTCTCAAATGTCTGAAAACATTTTGTGCTTTACATGTTGAATTCAGACATAGATTATTGCACTTTTAACAATCAGATGACTAAAACAACATTAGTTAAGAAAAAAATCAAGATACTTTGATTAAATTTAAAACACAAAGAATTGGCAAGTGAACTCAAGAAACTAAAATATACAAAAAATTTGTGCTCAAATAATACAGAAAAGATACCTACTAGCCATGTACATAATATAACAATAATATGATTATCTTTTTGTTCCGTTTGTTTAAACACTGGTTGGTAACTTTTAATATTACAATAATTAATGTTATTATATGCATAAGTACCTAAAATTAAATTGTAATCATACTGAGACCAGTTCATTAATTTAAAACATCACTGGACAAGAAACCAATCAATAAAATGCAAACATAGTAATAATATTAAACACAAAAAATTGTATTGATCAGTATTCAAATATTTGAGTTCAATAAATTATTTTGTATGCAAAAAAGCAATTTATTTTCATATTAAATTGTACAAATTTTTAGGTAATTATTTTTTTATTAATGTATTGTAAATGGTTTCAAGTCCACAGTTGTTTGCACACCAGATAATATAATCAATTGTTATATGAATTCTCGTTACAGTAGTCGTATGTTTGGTTAGAGGGTGTTTAAATTATACATATAATACTAACAACTAAAAACGATTCCATAAATATTTATAAATTGTTCAACAATGATAAAAACAAAATTTGTACTCATGTGCTTGTGAATCACAATGTAGTTTGTAAAAGATACTACTGTAAACGAGATTTGCTCTGAAGAGACCTTATAATATAAATAAACAACCTAAATGCATTTGATCTACTAGTATCATTGCTTGAGTATGGTCACTACCTCTCTTAACATCAAATTTAAAAAGTACGTAAATCGCTTAAACTACGTCTACCTTTATCTGACAATGGCCTGCAAATAGAAGTGGTTTTTTTCAAGCTTCCGAATACTGGTGGCCAAGTAGCTTGATCCAGTGTAACTGGTTTCTTTGATTCAGGGTCTGATTCAAAAACAGAATCATTAGATTCAACTGTGTCAATAGATGCCGAGGATTTATCAGCACTAGAAAAAGGACTAAATAAACTAAGAAGCTTGTCAACTCCAGATGAGGTGGCATGATCCAAACTCGAGGTAATATTTTGCAATGAAGTCAACAAGGGTCGAGAACCCATAACCCAAGATACTTTCCTAGTTCTTTGATCTTCTTTTTTGGTATCATTTTTATGTTTGCATAAATCCAAACTATCAACTGTGAGTTCCAAATTAGTAGGACCAAAAGAATCGTCAGATAATGATTCGTTACTAGCTGTTGGTGCTTTATCATTTAAATTATTCAATTTAGTCACCTTAAATCGACATTCTTTTTGTTTTTGTTCAGACACTTTAGATACATGGAAACGATTTCGTGTAGACGTTAATGAAGGGCTGCACATTGGACTACTAGCAATTGGGCTGTGTATAGGACTTGGAGCAGGACTCCTTAATCTACCACTACTTCCTCGTGATATAGGTGAGTAATCGCCTGAACTAAGATAATTGGGATTTTTAAGAGAAGTATACTGCATCATAAGTGATTCACATGTAAGAGATATTTTTCTAGAATCTACATTTGGTATTTTGATAGCTTTTGTTATATTGGACTCATCTGTAATCTGGTCAAGTAGATTGTCATCAATTTCTTTACTACAGTGTTTTTTTTCATTTTCTTCACACATTTGTTTGATCTGCTCTGTTAAATTTGTGTACTCCTTAGTTTTGTCCTAAATTAAATAAATAAATAATTTGAAATAGGTAATATATTTAGATATACAATTGATAATATATTAAAATTATTATTATTATAAAATATAAAAACAATGTCTTACAGCTGCATATTTGTTACGTGGCAGAGGATCTAAATCTAGGCGTGTAATTCTAAAATTTTTTGAAATAGACTCTTTTAAATTTCTCAGCCCTTCAACTTCAATATTATTATCACGTAAATCTAATCTCTGCAAAAGCCAACAATATTACAATACATAAGGAGGTTTAAAATCTAAAAACATTTCTAAATACAAAACTAAAGACTACTTTTTTTTTTTTTATTAATTTATAAGTTATAATAACAATTATGAATTGATTATCCTTATATACTATAGGAGCTTTATACTTTACTTAACTTAAACTACCAGGTTTATAATACTACTCATGTGATTGATACATAGATAAACAAGATAAGTGATTAACTATAATAAAACTATAATATAAGACATTTTAAAACTGATGTGTAGGGACAGGATTCATATGCAAATGCATATATGTATTAGAACAGTGGTGCCCAACCCGTGGTTCGCGAAGGTATTCTATGTGGCCCGTTACGAATTTTCTAAAATAAAAAAAATAATTTAAAATATATGAAAAAAATTTTAAATTATTAATTTTCATATAAATTATTTTTATTTAAATTCATGAATTTGTTTAATAATTATTCCAAAAAATACCATTATAATAATAATAATAAAAAAAACTAAAAACTATACAAAAATGTTTTACTCTTATTTTTAATGTAAAATTTCAGTTTATACTTCTTTTACTAATAATGAAATATCTGGTTGAAATTTAGTGGTTCCAATCCTCAAAATTGAATGAAGGTGTTTATTCATAAATCACGATTTATGAACCGA